CTTTTTCTTTTTTCTTTTTTTGTAAAAAGGGAGGATGTGGAGGAAAAAGGAGGGAGACCCTCCACGAGCAGCGTGAAGGAATTGTTTGAAGTGCGCCGCGTCGCTTAAAGGAGGAAAAGCTTTGGCGAAAAAGAAAAGCCGAAATACCTTCCGTGTGCCACTGCGACCAAAAAAAAAAGCGGAGGGGAGAGGAGAGGAGTAGAGGGAAAGAGAATGGATATGCGTCTCTGTCTGTGTGTGGAGGTGGAAGGAAGAATTCATTGGGGAGTGTCAACGGCGGCACAAACCAGCTGCCGGAGGCTGCTGCAGTCGCGGTGATATGTGCTTCCCCTGCCCTTCCCTCCCCTCCCCTTTTTACTTTACTAGCGCCCTGCAGCTGGCGTACCCACTGCCCCCCTCCAGGGAAGGAAGTTTGGGTGAGGGCAAACGAGGGCCCCCAAATACAAGTCAGCCGCCGACGGGGAAACAGCCCGGGCCGGCGGAAACGAACGGTGACTGAAGATAAAAGGGAGTCGGGGTGAGCTGCGGCCAGCCCCGTGGAGCAATAACTTCTTTGAAATGTTTGCATCATGCCTTGTGGTGCGGGCTGGCTACAAGTGCCGTTTTGCGTGCCCCCGTCGCCGTGTCCAGGGTGCTGCGGCGATGCTGTTTGCGCGGGCGGCGTGTTGTGGCCGTCCAGGCAGCGAGCGGCGGAGTATGTGCCGTGGCGGCAGCGCGGACAACACGGCGCCACACCCCGGCGCTCTGGCGATCGTGCCGGGAGACTCGCTCCTCACATCCGAAGGACTCCGGAGCTACCGTGACGGTTATCTCAGACCGCTCTTGCTGCAGAAGCGCCATGCATTGCAGCAGCTGACGGGCATTAAAACCCACTGTGAGTTGGTGTCGCTTCAGTACGCGGACTACTACGCGGCAGGCGTCTTTGTGTTGTTGACGGCGCAGGCAGTCACGCTCTTCTACTGGGTGTACTTCCTCTTTGATTGGAACCTCGTGGAGCCCATCACGTACCTGCTTGGCTACGGCGGGGTGTGGCTTGCCATCGCCTGCCACGCGGCAACGCAACGAGACTTTACCTACGAAGCCTGCACTGGGATGATCGCCGCGCACTACCTTTCCCTGCTCCACCGCCGCCACAATTTTGACGTGCAGCTCTGGCAGCGGCTGACGGCGGAAGTAGAGCTGCTGGAGGAGCGACTGCGGGGGCTGGAAGGCGTCTGAGTCCGTGGCGTGTGCGCCCTTCTCTCTATCTCTCTGCGTGCCGCTGCCGGAGCGGGCGGTTTGCCGAATTCCCTGGTGTCCCGTTGGGCCCGCGAGTTGAAGGGGATATATCTCTGATTGCTCATTCAGTTGTAGTTCTATATATATATATATGTTTGTGTGTGTGTGTGTTCACGCCTCTCCCCGTCTCCCTCTCCTTTTCTTTTGTTTCCCGTGCAGTGGGAGGCAGGCGAGGGCGACGGAGGGAAAAAAATAAAGGCGAGGACGGCCACCTCACTGGCGGGCGTGCAGATAACGTGCGATGCTGTCGTGGACGCACTCACGTCCTGTGGGAGGACGCTGTGGTCTTTCACCGGAGCCGCTTTCTCCCCCTCTCTTTCTCTCAGTTCTGTGGGCAAGCAACACCGATCCGATAGTAGAGGAGCAGCCGGAAGGAAAAAGTAAGGTCACACATACACATACTCGGCTGAGGCTTTTAAAAGGAGGAGGGGGAGTAAAGGAGAGCGGCAATGAACGCGGAGGAGTATTGGCGCATGAAGGCCTGTGAGGCGGTGGAGGAGCACCACAGCATGATTCAGTCGCAGCGGGACGAGATTGAGCGGCTGCAGCGCCGTTGCAACGATCTCCTGCACGAGCGAAGTATGATGCGGGCGGCGGCGGCTGAGGACATCCGGCGCTTTTGTGTGGAGCATCAGCGAACGCAGCTGCTGCAACACTTCGCGGCAGGAGCGGCGGGGGCCTCAGCGGGGCGCCTGTCTGCGGTGTCGCCGATAGACTCCATCCCGCTGCATCTACTGCTGCAGTTCTTGCACCAGTACAGCGCCGGGATGGTACCAATGACGGAGAACATCAAACGGAAGCGGTCGCGGGAAACCATGAACACTGGGTGTGTGCCGAAAAACTTGAGCCAGCAACGTCTAGTTCAACGTGCGGTGGCGCGCCGCCGACTGCGGATGCGGGAGGACGAAACGATGGAGGAAGTGTTGCAGGAGCATGGTCAGCCGCACGAGCCGCGTCCGTGCGCCGATGCGGCCCGGTAGTATAACAATTTGTCCGTTTTGCTTTTGTCTCCCTCCTTCCCCCTTGCAACCGTGCATGCAAGTGTGTATGCCTCTTTTGGGTTGTTGTTGTTGTAGTCTCCCTCTATGCGTGGGGGTGTGCTAAAGTAGGAGGGGAAAGAAGAAGTGTGCAGTAAGGATGCGGATGTGCGTGTGACAGATGGGGATGCGTAGTACGTGGAGGGACTGTTGGCACAGCCGCCCCACACCTGTTCGTGTCCTGTACGTGTTGTTAACAGTAGGCCCTGTGGGCCTCCTTCCGCCCACCCTTCCCCCTTCGTCTCGCTCACGCTGTTGGCTCGCCTGCGCAGTCGAGTTCGCCGGCATGCATCGCCCGCATGCTGCACCCACGCTTCCTGCTTCTCTCTCTCCCCCTTCTCTCTCTCTCTGTGTGTGTCTGAGGGTGCGTGTGTTTGCTCCCCCACGTGCTTGACTTGCGGGCGGTGCCACGCGTTGCGGCGAGAAAGCGCAGAAGCCTCCGCCGCCGTTCCCTTTTCCCTCCCATAAGCTGAAGAAGGCCCCTGCAGCACTATAAAAGAAGAAGAGAGCGAGGTGGGATGACGTCGTCTGGCGGCGCATGGGAGGTGGTGGTGGACAAGGCGGCGCTGGAGGTGTCGAGGTTCCTGGCGGCGGCCACCGACCCCTTTTTGCCCGACTCCCGCACGGCGCGGTGGATGCTGGCGCTGCTCGACGCGAGCTCCCTGCGCGACGTCCTCGAGGAGCGCAACGACGGCGGCCGCTGCGGCATGATTGGCTGCCCTGCCGGCCGCGGGGCGGAGAGCCGGCGGCACGGCGACGGCGGGTGCGAGCGACGACCCGCCGGAGCTGCGTGCGGCGGCGGCGGCGGCGACGAGGGCGACGAGTGGGCGGGGGAGGAGGCGGGCGCATTTAGGCGGTACGAGCGGTACCGTGCGCAGCAGCCGCGGCGGGCGGCGGCGGCGGCGGGGCGCTTCTGCTCTCCCGCATGTGCGGAGGCGTTCGAGGCGCTGGCGCAAAAAATCCCCCCCTCGCTCGTCTACGCCCGCGGCGAGGTGGTGCAGGCCGTGGGGGGACTTTTCCCCAACATGAGCCTTGCCGCCCTTCAGCGGCTTGCGGGGGCGGAGTCGACGTCGGTGGCGGACATTGCCGAGCGACGCGTGCGGCAGGAGGAAGACGAGGGGCCACGGCCGCCGCCGCTGCACCCATCAGACCGCACGGCAGCCGAGGCCGCATCGCTGCGGGAGGCGCTGAGCGGCATTGCGGCTGAGAGAGAGACGTGGCGCCGAGAGATGCGGCAGGTGCAAGCCACAGGGGCTGACGAGGGACGAAGACGGCGGCTGCCGCTGCCACTGATGGTGTACGACTGGTGCATGACGATGTCAACCGCGAGGACCAAAGCCCTCTTCGCCACGCTGTGCCGCAGGGGTGACCTGAGCAGCGGCGTCTGGAGCGACACCGAGCACGGGGCGGGGCGAGACCGCAGTTTGTATGTGAAGTGCGTGGGGTCCATCCGCAGCCGGTGCCTGAGGCGCGCGGAGGCGGCGGCAGGCGTGGAGGAGGCGGAGCCGCCTTCCGTGGACCCACAACTGCAGCAGCAGCGCCTCGCTCTTTTCGCCGCGCAGGTCTTTTCTGCCGAAACCACTGCGGCCCTCTCGCGTCTCCTCTTGTACGATGAGGCGACGCTGCAGCAGGCGTGGGAGCTCTGGCGGTTGAGTGGCCTTCTCGCCACTCTGCAGTTTCCCTTCGCGCTGCCGGGAGCCCTCGTCGCCGGCGGGGCGGCGCCGCATGTTTTGTTTCTCGCGCTTGTGATGCTTGCCGCTGCGGGGCTGTGCGGGGCGGCGGCGTGGGCGGAGTGGATGCGGGAGGACGCCCTCGGCGAGTTGCTGGCGGCGTTGGGGGCCACCGCGGAGGAACTCGCGGCGTGCGTGCAGGTCCTCGTGCTGGAGTGAAATCCACGGCGGAGGGAGCAAGAAGGTACGAACCGGCCGAAGAAAGAAAGAAAGAAGAAGAGAAACAGTCAAAGGAGGGGCTGTCTTTGCGGCTGCCCCTCCCTCCCTGCACGCGTGCGTGCGTGCGTGCGTGGGATTATTATTATTATTTCCGTGACCAACGCCACTGCAATGTCGTGTTGTCTGCGCTGCCGTGTGACGCCTGCCCGCCCGCCTCTCGTTCTCTCCTTTTTTTTTGTTTTTGTCCTTCGCGCCGTGCAGAGTGGGGGGGCGTTACGACAGAAAGCCGTGCTTGGAAGGTCGCAGGAGCGCAGGCTACAAGCAAACGGGCAGCAGAGCGAGAAAAAGAGCGAGAGTTACGGGAGGGCGCCATACGCGTGTGCGGCGAGGCAGGCGGAGACATGTTCCACAACAGCTACCAGTCCGGCTTCCTCTCCATCCTGTACAGCATCGGCTCCCGGCCGCTGCAGATTTGGGACACGAAGGTGCGCAACGGCCACGTCAAGCGCATCACCGACGAGGACATTCAGTCCTCCGTGCTGGAGGTGGTCGGCAGCAACGTGAGCACCTGCTACATCACCTGCCCCGCCGACCCGAAGAAGACGCTGGGGATAAAGCTGCCGTTTCTCGTCATGATCATCAAGAACCTGAAGCGGTACTTCTCGTTTGAGGTGACCATCCTGGACGACAAGGGCATCCGCCGCCGCTTTCGCGCCTCCAACTACCAGAGCACGACGCGGGTGAAGCCGTTCACCTGCACGATGCCGATGCGCCTGGACGAGGGGTGGAACCAGATCCAGTTCAACTTAGCGGACTTCACACGGCGCGCGTACGGGACTAATTACCTGGAGACCCTGCGGGTGCAGCTGCACGCCAACTGCCGTGTCCGCCGGCTGTACTTCAGTGACCGCCTTTACTCGGAGGAGGAGCTGCCACCGGAGTTCAAGCTGTTCCTTCCCATCTCCCAGCAGCAGCCGACGCAACAGCAGCAGCAGCAGCAGCAGCCGACGCAACAGCAGCAGCAGCAGCAGCAGCAGGCACAGCCACAACAACAACAGCAGCAGCAGCAGGCGCAGCCGNAGGCACAGCAGCAGGC